TGCATAAATCTATAAACATTTATATTCATATACTATAAATATTATATCAAAATATAAAACTTGTTCAACTAACATATTGACATAAACAAACATATATACATATAAAGACATACATAGTCATACACCATTTCATAGATACAAACAACTAAAGCTTACATATTTATCAATTATTTGTAATGCAATTATTTATCATTATCATTATTTTGTATTTTTTGTAATTACAATAATTAATTATGACACATACATTATACAAAACTAACTGAGTTTTCCACGTAGCTTTTCCAAGGTTTTCTTGTCGCACATTTGTTATTGTTGTTTCAGTTTGTGCAGCGCGTGCAACACATTGTTTTACTTTTTTCCTACTTTTTTTTTGTGTTATTTATTTATTTATTGCTTAGTTGTTGTTTGTTTTTTGTTTCATTCACTCACACACACGCACGCACACACAACAAGACGACAACGACGCGGCACATTCGTTTATTATTATTGTTGATGTTGTTATTGTTGTTGTTGTTGTTTGAATATTTCGGCATACGCTGCTCAGACCAAACGTTGCGTTGCATTCACGACGAAAGTTAAATACGAACTGATTGCTCGGCAAAAGTATCTAACAGATACAATGAATGAAACTCGAAACGCAGCGTCAGCTGCGCTGCTGACGTCGGCGACGGCGGCGCTGCGAGAGCACGAGCACGAGAGCATGACAGAGGGCGAGCGTGAAAGCCAGAGAGCGAGAACGAGAGAGAGCGCAAAACGCCGCATATGTTAATGCCGCTTGTTTTTTGCGGCGAATTCGTTGAGCAGCGCGTCTTAAGAGACCTAACGGAGCTGCTTAAGAGAGCGGCAAAGTGCACTCTCTGCTGTGGGCTTGGATTTGCATGTGATCTTTCAAGAATCAATGATTAAGTGCTGCTTATAATTAATGAATAATTATTTTATATGTACAAAAGTCAAGCGGGACTGTACTTGAGCAAGTCGCGGCTGACAAGTCTCTATGCATTTATTTGACTTCAGTCGCAGCTTTGATTGGAGCAAGTTTGAGTAGGCGAAGGAGGAGGAGGAAGCTGGTGGGCAGTGGTTGGGGGTAAGCAGGCAATTCACGAGCCAATAAGGCAAATACATAAAAATCGCGAATAACGTCAAGATACGCATAACCAAAAACTGCGCCTACGAGTGCACCAACAACAACAATTATAGCAGCAGCAACGGCAACAATAACAACATAAGCAACAACAATAACAGCAACAACAACAATACAGCAATTGCGTGCCTCATTCTTTTAGCCGGAAAGAAAGAGAGAAGCTGCTGCATTTGGTCCAGTAAGAAAATGTTGCAAATAGTTTTTAGCGCAACCCCCGACGACGAATATCTTCAGCTTATTGCAGCCATTCATGGTATTTGTTGCTGTTGTTGCTATGTTGGTGTTGTTGCTGTTGCCGGTGCTGCTTAGGCCAACTACTGCGCAAAGAGCACAGAAAAACTACAGCACTTGGCCACGCCCTCTCGGCACAGCACAGCTAGCTACAAAATGCACGGGTGTGAGCGAGCGCGCAAGCTTTGCGCTCCCTACAATCACACAATCACACAAGCGCACGCACACAAGCGCACAGCACAAATCAAGCAGTTTAGGTGAGAGGCGACTCCCCCCTCTTCGTATAGTTCAACTCGGTTAGCGCGCGTGTGAGCGAGAGCGAGCCGAGCATTGCTGCGACGCTCTCTTAGACGCCGCTCATTGGCAAGGCTAAAAAGAGCAAAAACTTTTGCGCGAAACAAAAAGTAAAAAAAAAAAGAAACAGAAACAACAAAGGCAATAAGCAGAAAGATGTGCAGTGGCCAAAGAGGAAATGCAAAATGCGAGTGAGCGAACTTGCTATAGTTGTTGTTGTTCGTGTGCTGTTGTTGTTGCTGCTGGTGACGTCACTCGGTAGGCGGCGCCACGAACGCATTTTTAATATGCAGCTCGCACAGTTGTTGTTGCTTGTAGGCCTCTTGCTGCTGCTGCAGCAGTTGTTGCTGTAGTTGGTGTTGTTGTAAGGTTGACATGTGCGCAACCAATAACAACAACTAAACTAAAGCCCCTGCGTGTGTGTGTGTGTATGTGTGTGCTCGTGCGTGCGTGTGTGTGTATATGTGTGAGTTTGTTTTTGTATATTTTGCATATTTTATTTGATTTGCTTTCTCGCTTTTTTTTTTTGGCCTTTTTTGTGCTTCGTGCGCTTTGGCGAGCCGCTCGCACGCTTCGTGTTCAACGCCCATTGGCTGGCATTTTAAATTTATATATATATA